TTTATATATTTTCAGTCATATTTAATATCTAATACTTTTAATATTAATTGAAAATAATAATTACAGATTATGAAAATATTATCAAGAATAGAGTAGAGTAATTTTATGCTATACTTTAGATTATTTCTAGAATTAGGTTTATTCTTTTTTATCTTTTGTTATGAATTGTATCTAGAAAAAAAAATAAATTTTACTAAACTATGAATTATCATTTTTAAGACTTAACCTATATTTATAGAAAACAATGCACTATTAAATTTATTTTCTAAACAGACTATAGTACTTAATTTATAACTGTTGTTTCTTGACATCTCAATATTTACCAGTAATGTTGAAAAACATGTACTTATCAATCTTAAGAATTTGAAGATAAGAGTTGAAACAAAAACAACATATTATTCAAAAAAGTTATCATGAAATGATTAAATTTATAATTGTAATGTTTTTAATAAATATTCAAATTCACTTTTGCTTTAAGTCTTCTAAAAAGCAACTTCCTTTTGTTTTAAACAATGGTTTCAAATCATTCCCTCAATGATTAATTAATTGTCCTTATAGGATAAGTGTTCCTGATGCTTCTAATAAAGGATTCTAACATATTCCATGTATTTTACGATCAGGATTAACTAAATAATAATTAATAATAAATACCATTTGGCAATAAGGAGCTATTCTGAAGAAGTATCTTAAACTAGGAGAGAAATTCTTTATAGCTACTATCTGATTGAGTATTTCTTTTGATGATTGTACATTCCAAAGACTGATATTCAAATTCCGGTCCTAGGGGCTTGGGAAAACCCCTACTATATTCAGGATGTAGGTTCCACATCCGGATTTATGAGTCAAAAAACTATGTAAGTATCACCCCCCCCCCAATTTGTGAGTCAAAAAACTATGCAGGTATGACCATAAGTAAATCGATGATTTCTTAAAGCTGACTAATAATTTTTAATTGAGGGTTTGATTATCTTTTCTATTCAATTTAGCATCGTAAAGATGTATTAATTCGTTCTCTGTATTTTGTTTGTTTCACATTTTTGATGAGTTGATTCTGAAATATGTTAATGTATTAAATGATTATAAATATTAATCAATTCTCATCGTTTTTATAATTCAATATGGTTCTCTAAAATGAAACTTCCTCTTTGTTTAAATAATGTCCTCAAGTCTAGACCAGATTGATTAATTAATTCCCCTTTCAAAATTAAAGTGCCTTAAGATCGAAATTCAAGCTTTTTTGATATGACAAGGTAATTAACAGGAGAATTTACTATATAAAGAAGAAAATAAATACCACTTTCTTGAATTGCGTTGTTGTTAAAGTTTTGAGATTAAAATTAAGCTACAATATCTTGATAACGAGTATCTGAAGATAAGATTTATTATCCTGTCTTAGCATCCCATAAACGGATAGACTTATCAGAACTACCAGATGCTAATGTAGTACCATCAGGAGAGTAACAAATTG